TCCGTTAATGTTTTTTTTTCGGGTCTAGTATGAATTTCAGAAAGTTTGTTTTTTCTTCTCCGTTTCGTTGATGACATCAGCCCTCCGCGATGTGGCTAAACTTTAAGGAGTCATGATTTAGGACTTTGGCGCCTTCGGCAGTAATCTTGGCAGGTAAATTACACAAGCCTTAAAGTTAATCCTTCTCTAACGACGATAACATTGTGAACTGAGGAATAAAACAGGGTGTCACCAAATTATAAATATGTAATTAAATGAGTGTAATTTTTGTGTGATGAGTTATTCAAAATGTCTGCATGATGGGAAATTCAATCTAAAGTCAAGTGATGACATTGCTAGAAGTAATTGTAAAATACAGAAACTCAAGTGGGGATATTTATGTCAACTGATTATAAAATAAACTATATTTTAAGGCGAATCGCTGATTCCTTTTATTATTTTTTAAAAGTGTGTGAGTGAGTTGTGTTTAACTCCGAAACAGTATTTCAGTTATTTCACGGCGTGTCAAGAAAGCCAAAGCAGCAGGCGGTGGACGTTTAACGATTTTAATTAAACCCACGAGCACATGCAACTCTGTCCTCGTGTTGTTATTGTCATGGTAAATCTGTCCTCGTGTTGTTATTGTCATGGTAACTCTGTCCTCGTGTTGTTATTGTCATGGTAAATCTGTCCTCGTGTTGTTATTGTCATGGTAACTCTGTCCTCGTGTTGTTATTGTCATGGTAAATCTGTCCTCGTGTTGTTATTGTCATGGTAAATCTGTCCTCGTGTTGTTATTGTCTTGGTAACTCTGTCCTTGTGTTGTTATTGTCTTGGTAATTCTGTCCTCGTGTTGTTATAATCTTGGTAATTCTGTCCTCGTGTTGTTATAATCTTGGTAACTCTGTCCTCGTGTTGTTATTGACTTGGTAACTCTGTCCTCGTGTTGTTATTGTCATGGTAAATCTGTCCTCGTGTTGTTATTGTCTTGGTAACTCTGTCCTTGTGTTGTTATTGTCTTGGTAATTCTGTCCTCGTGTTGTTATAATCTTGGTAATTCTGTCCTCGTGTTGTTATAATCTTGGTAACTCTGTCCTCGTGTTGTTATTGTCTTGGTAACTCTGTCCTCGTGTTGTTATAATCTTGGTAACTCTGTCCTCGTGTTGTTATTGTCTTGGTATCTCTGTCCTCGTGTTGTTATTGTCTTGGTAACTCTGTCCTCGTGTTGTTATAATCTTGGTAACTCTGCCCTCGTGTTGTTATAATCTTGGTAACTCTGTCCTCGTGTTGTTATTGTCTTGGTAACTCTGTCCTTGTGTTGTTATTGTCATGGTAACTCTGTCCTCGTGTTGTTATTGTCTTGGTAACTCTGTCCTCGTGTCCTCGTGTTGTTATTGTCTTGGTAACTCTGTCCTCGTGTTGTTATTGTCATGGAAACTCTGTCCTCGTGTTGTTATAATCTTGGTAACTCTGTCCTCGTGTTGTTATTGTCTTGGTAACTCTGTCCTCGTGTTGTTATTGTCTTGGTAACTCTGTCCTGTTATTGTCTTGGTAACTCTGTCCTTGTGTTGTTATTGTCATGGTAACTCTGTCCTCGTGTTGTTATAATCTTGGTATCTCTGTCCTCGTGTTGTCATAATCTTGGAATCTCTGTCCTCGTGTTGTTATTGTCATGGTAACTCTGTCCTCGTGTTGTTATTATCTTGGTAACTCTGTCCTTGTGTTGTTATTGTCATGGTAACTCTGTCCTCGTGTTGTTATAATCTTGGTATATCTGTCCTCGTGTTGTCATAATCTTGGAATCTCTGTCCTCGTGTTGTTATTGTCATGGTAACTCTGTCCTCGTGTTGTTATTGTCTTGGTAACTCTGACCTCATGTTGTTATTGTCATGGTAACTCTGTCCTCGTGTTGTTATAATCTTGGTATCTCTGTCCTCGCGTTGTCATAATCTTGGAATCTCTGTCCTCGTGTTGTTATTGTCATGGTAACTCTGTCCTCGTGTTGTTATTGTCTTGGTAACTCTGTCCTCGTGTTGTTATTGCCTTGGTAACTCTGTCCTCGTGTTGTTATTGTCTTGGTAACTCTGTCCTTGTGTTGTTATTGTCATGGTAACTCTGTCCTCGTGTTGTTATAATCTTGGTAACACTGTCCTCGTGTTGTTATTGTCTTGGTATCTCTGTCCTCGTGTTGTTATTGTCTTGGTAACTCTGTCCTGTTATTGTCTTGGTAACTCTGTCCTCGTGTTGTTATTGTCATGGTAACTCTGTCCTCGTGTTGTTATTGTCTTGGTATCTCTGTCCTCGTGTTTTTATTGTCTTGGCAACTCTGTCCTGTTATTGTCTTGGTAACTCTGTCATCGTGTTGTTATTGTCATGGTAACTCTGTCCTCGTGTTGTTATTATCATGGTAACTCTGTCCTCGTGTTGTTATTGCCTTGGTAACTCTGTCCTCTTGTTTTTATTATCTTGGTAACTCTGTCCTCGTGTTATTTTTGTCTTCGTAACTCTGCCCCTTGAGATGTTATTGTCCTGGTATACACGAGTTCTTACATTCAGCTGTAACGACGTCCTCGTATTCTGTCCTCCTTGTCGTTGCCGCCTGAGTACCATGTCATCTGCGTGTGGCCCAGTGTTTTATTGCCTCGACTCAACTTCTCAACAAACAAACCAAGTTTTTTAGCCTATAATATCGGCGGCAACCAGTACCCATGTTTAGCTGGTCTATTGTGAACTTACGTGAACTTTGTAGCGTAATTTAAATCTCTAGCCCTACAATTACTCTTCTCACATATCCACGTATACACTACCTTTACTAAACAACTCCAGACAGACCCCTTGGTTTCATTTACAGAAGAAAGTCTGGTGATTGATTGAACACGGCGATCTCATCATGCATCTAGACGGTCCTGATGAAGTGTGCACCCAGGAGGTGTGTTTGACCCCTACCCCCAGTCTTCTAGTCAAGGGAGGGTGGGGAAATTGTATACCCCCTGCACAATGACAAGCAAGCTGATACCCCGATTTACGCGTCTTATGTAACCAGGTAAAGCAATAGCGTCCCTGTGATCAGTAATCTGTTAATGACAAGCCTCATTTACTTGACTGCGTGGTTGCTGAAGACGTGGTTAAAAGCGTGGAGTCACGTCGTTACATGGCATGCCCGTCAACACAATATGACTTTAAAGATATACAGTTGACAGGTGGGAAGCGGAAGAGAGTTTGGAGAGAGAGGGTTTAGAGAGAGAGACACAGAGAGAGAGAGACAGGGAGACAGAGGGAGAGAGACACGCAGAGAGAGAGAGAGACGCACAGAGAGAGAGATAGAGGGAGAGACGCAGAGAGAGAGAGAGACGCAGAGAGAGAGAGACAGGGAGACAGAGGGAGAGAGACGCACAGAGAGAGAGAGAGTCGCAGAGAGAGACACGCAGAGAGAGAGAGACGCACACAGAGAGAGACAGAGGGAGAGACGCAGAGAGAGAGACAGAGGAGAGAGACACGCACACAGAGAGAGAGACGCACACACAGAGAGACAGAGGGAGAGACGCAGAGAGAGAGACAGGAGAGAGACACGCACACAGAGAGAGAGAGACACGCAGAGAGAGAAACGCACAGAGAGAGAGACACGCACAGAGAGAGACGCACAGAGAGAGCGAACGTGTTTGGAGAGAGAGGGTTTGAAGTGAGAGAGAGTGAGAGAGGTCGGGGAGAGAGAGAGAGAGACGGAGTGAGAAACAGGCAGACACAGAGAGAGAGACGCACACAGAGAGAGACACGCAGAGAAAGTGACGCAGAGAGAGAGCGAAAGAGTTTGGAGAGAGAGGGTTTGAAGTGAGAGAGAGAGGTCGGGGAGAGAGAGAGAGAGAGACGGAGTGAGAAACAGGCAGACAGAGAGAGAGACGCAGAAAGAGAGGGGGAGAGAGTGATACGACGGAGAGAGAGACACAGAGAGAGAGACGCATAGAAAGAGAGACACACAGACGGAGATTAAAGAGAGAGTAGGGGAGAGTGGGAGGAACAAGTGGTAGATAGATAAAAGATAAAAGTATAGAGTGGGGAAAAGAGTGCGAGGATAGAGAAAGAGTGAGTGAGAATGGTTTTACGCCCCTTTTTGCAGTATTCCAGCAATATCACGACGGGGGACACCAGAAATGGGCTTCACACATTGTACCCATGATGGGAATCGAACCCGGGTCTTCTGCGTGACGAGCGAGCGCTTTAACCACTAGGCCGACTGCCCCGGATAGAGAAGGATGGGGAGAGAGCAGGGGATAGTAGAATGTGAGATGTGAAGGGAGGGTGAGGAGGGCGATAGTTGGAAGGGTACAGAAAGAGAGGACGACAAAAAAGAGTGTTAAAGAACATGTTGGAAGCGTATTACCTGTATACCATCTTTAAAAGATGGTCCGGAGACAGGGGGACAAACAGGCATAGAGGGTTTAGAGAGTTTAAAGAGAGAATAGATACTGCGGCGGTATCAACTCCAGCAGCATTGCTGTAAGTGTCACAACTGCAACCACTGTAAAACACGACCTACTGCAATAGTATGTTAAAGGGAAGTAGTTGTTTGGAAAGCGCCCTACAGGCTGAAACTCTATCGTGTAATTATAGTGTTTTCCTAAAGCTAATGATGTGAAAAATACCGTGTTTACATGAATCGTCCTGCGCGTTTCCATGCTGATTATCTTATCTTTTTTCTTACTGTGTCTCCTTAAAAGTTCAACTTCTAAATAGAGGTAATTTGGTTAATGATTTTGCTGGAGATTTTATCAAATGACATGTAAGATTGTGTGTGTTTACTACAAAGTTCCATGGAATTCCTTTGAAACTAGGAATACTGCAACATATTCATGTGCGTCGCTTGTACGTTTGGCAGGTTATGAAGCGTAACTCCAATTTTTCTACGCACGTAGCCAAGAAAAATAGTCCCTCGTTGTCAAACATTTTGCGTCGACACTGTAGCAACTCGTCCTTGTTAGACTGGAATGTGAAAGTGTTGTGCGTAACAAAACAAAGTTGTGTACATGACGATCATTAACAAGGACAGACTATCGACGGGTCCACGAGTCCACAAGTCCACAGGTCCACAAGTCCACAAGTCTACAGGTCCACAAGTCCACAAGTCCACAGGTCCACAAGTCCGCATGTCCACAGATCCACAAGTCTACAGGCCCACATCTCCACAAGTCTACAGGTCCACAGGTCCACAAGTCTACAGGTCCACAAGCCCACAAGTCTACAAATCCACAGGTCCACAAGTCTACAGGTCCACAGGTCCACAAGTCTACAGGCCCACAGGTCCACAAGTCCACGGGTCCACAGGTCCACAGGCCCACATCTCCACAAGTCTACAGGTCCACAAGCCCACAAGTCTACGGGTCCGCAGGTCCACAAGTCCACAGGTCCACAGGTCCACAAGTCTACAGGCCCACATCTCCACAAGTCCACAGGTCCACATCTCCACAAGTCTACAGGCCCACATCTCCACAAGTCTACAGGCCCACATATCCACAAGTCTACAGGTCCACAGGTCCACAAGTCTACAGGTCCACAAGACCACAAGTCTACAGGTCCACAGGTCCACAAGTCTACAAGACCACAGGTCCACAAGGCTACAGGTCCACAAGTCTATAGGTCCACATTTCCACAAGTCTACAGGTCCACAAGTCTACAGGTCCACATCTCCACGGGTCCACAGGTCCATAAGTCTACAGGTCCAAAGGTCCACAAGTCTACAGGTCCACATCTCCACGGGTCCACAAGTCTACAGGTCCAAAGGTCCACAAGTCTACGGGTCCACAAGTCCACGGGTCCACAGGTCCACATCTCCACAAGTCTACAGGTCCACAAGCCCCCAAGTCTACAATCCCACAGGTCCACAAGTCTACAGGTCCACATCTCCACGGGTCCACAGGTCCACAAGTCTACAGGTCCAAAGGTCCACAAGTCTACGGGTCCACAAGTCTACAGGTCCAAAGGTCCACAAGTCTACGGGTCCACAAGTCTACAGGTCCACAGGTCCGCAAGTCCATATCTCCACGGGTCCACAAGTCTACAGGTCCACAAGTGCACATCTCTAAAGGTACACAAGTCCACAGGTCCACAAGTCTACAGGTCCAATTCTCCACAGGTCCTCAAGTCAACATCTCCACAGGTCCACAAGCTTGCCGCCACCCTCCGTCATATATCTGCAATAATGTCGCTTTAAACAACAAACAAACATTTCGAGTCAACGTTCCGACGTTGCGAGTGAAGACCTCCCTCTCACTAGGATATTGCCTAGGGACGGGATATCAGTATGGTAGACAGATATATATTTCAAAGCTTGAGTTTCCAGACAACCAACATGGAATGAGAATGTCTTAAATTCAACTTTCCAGGACTGTCAATTTATCCAAGCATAGTCCACAAGTAAAGGGAGGGCGGACTGTCTGGCCACGTCGATCCCCTGATTACGTCATACCAAATGACGTTAAACGTTGACGCCTGACGCTCGCCCTTGGGGGTTAAAACAAGGACTGATCGGTTGGAGTCAGGATAAAGTGTCGGGATGGGGTACCCATGTTAAACTGCAGCATGGTATCTCAGTGGGCTAGCACTATAACACCGGCACTAGTACAAGCGCACGCACGCACGTCAATGCACAAGTGAAACAAATTTGATCGCGACGTTAAACCCCATTTAAACCTCACCTCAACCTTTAAAGGACCTATACCTATCAAAGTCGTTTGAATTTGTTTCCATGGTAATAGTCTTTGGTGGCACGTTACCCTATACACAGAGCACAAGTCACAAATAAGGTGAAGCTAAGCAACGCCGGCGACGGAGAGTAGGCGGATGGGTAACCACGGCTCTGCCTCACACTGAACCACGGGTTCTTAATGGTGTCAGATATTTCCTTAGGCAAGAGATTTTGTTACGATTGTTCTAAGTGTTCATCCAGCAGCGAATGAGTGTCCTTTGGGATGTTTGTAAAGTGAATGCAAAAGATTCTGGCCAAAAAGGCAGTTTGGGTTGTATACTCCCCAGGGAGCTGAGGATGTAATTTATTTAGAACCCACTGATCCATGAAAGGGGGAACGATTTGATGATCTTTCTTTAAGGGATGGATATTTATATATATTATCATGATTGAATATTTTAAGAATAGTATATTACACATTTTCTACTTAATGCACAAGCAAAGTGTATTCAATGATCAAATACACGAATCGACCCGTGAAGATCCGGGTTATGATAGATCTTCAGCAAGTCATGCTTGTCGTAAGAGACGACTAACGAGATCGGGTGGTCAGACTTGCTGACTTGGTTGATGCATGTCATCGTATAAAAATTGCGTAGATCGATGTCCATGATGTCAATTACTGGATTGTCTGGTCCAGACACGATTATTTACAGACCGCCGTCATATCGCTGGAATATTGCCGAGTGCGGCGATAAACAACAAACAAACAACACGAAATTCTTGTAACTATGCCCAAATGACCTGACATGAAGTCCCACGGGATCGCTTCAGTGTTCAGCCACCAAGGAGACCGTAACATGACCAGTCTAGTTCTGTCCAGGCGACGTAAACAAGCAGAGTGACCAGTACCGTCCATCGGTCACGCGTAATTGTTTCAAATTGACCATAAACATTGTCAGGTATCTCTCGATTTCAAATTAGGAGAGGAAGGGGGATAACGATGATATACCACGGACCGCGGACGAGACGGCCACGTCCATTTCGTGCTTATCTGACCATTGTCCAGCGTAGACGGTGTACATTCAAATATACCCGTGACCTAGCAGTGAACCCCACCCTGCTATAAACACCCAAAGACAGTGTCAGATAGCATGAGACCGTTCCCACCCCTCATGGAACACACTTTACAAGTTTCCCACAAATGTATTCGTTATTAACTTTGGGGTGAAAACGCCATAAATAGCCTCGTTCTGGCCGATGACAGCTCAGGCGCTAAGTCTGCAATTTAGATAATTTAGTCAATTTATCCATTTGCGAACACTTTACTCAGTATAAATTAACCCTTGAACGAAATACGGATGAAATTTTATGGCTCCTTGGCAGTCTTCAACTGGGGTATTATTTACACAGAAGCGGCCAAGACGTTCGTTGTGGTCATTCCCAACACACAATCTTGTAATGATGTATAAGACCCACTTTCCAAGAGACGGTTATATGTCGTATGACGCTAAACCGTATCACAAAATTTTAAAGATGAATTTAACATGTGTGATATGGAATAATACGACACTCTTGCAAAACAATATCATATTAACGAAATATTAAGCAAGGATAAGAATTTATGGATGAACAACTTCTTTATTACAATTAAGAGCGACGTTTCGGTGTAGGTTCCTTACTTAGTACTCCAACTTCTAAATGCCTATCAAAGAAGTTATTCGTCATTTTCATGGAGACATGGCAATCTCAACCATCAACCGACTCACTTGCTTGATAACGGTGTTAGAACCTACACCGAAACGTCGCTCTTAATTGTAATAAAGAAGTTGTTCATCCATTAATTCTTATCCGTACTTAGAACTCCAACTTCTATATGCCTCTCAAAGAAGAAATATTAAGCGTCTGTCATGTGTTAGATTATTGTTATGTGGGTGGGGCGGCGTGGTCTTGGGGTCTTGGGGTGTGGAGAATCAGGATGGGGTCCAAAACATATAAAACAGACAGATATTTTATTGAAGTCTCACCTCAACGTTTGATCCATAAAATTAGCCTTACATTCTTAAAAACAAGTTGAGCCATTCCATGCGGAATCACGAGAGACTATTCTGCATACAACAAAACAAACTGTGAACTAAGGGTTTTAGATAAAACCGTAAACAATTTCAATAAAATATCTATTAAGTAGGAATATACAAATTGGCAGCACGTTATTTTTAAAAATATTATGGCAAGTCTTGGCAGTTAGGAAGGACAGTTCAGGGTATGACAGTATACAACTAACCTTATCTTTAAAGGACATAAAACCCTCTCAAATTGGGCCCACTTGTTAAAACAGGTTTAATGACGGGTGTTGTGTTTTTAACCCTTTTGGAATTCCGGATCAGCGAAGGCCCCTTAGACTAACATCTAGTCTCTGAAATGAACATACTCGTATCGTACAGAAAAAACCCACAGTTGTTCAGTTGTCTTAATAAAAATATGATAAAAGAGAGCCCAGTGACTCTCTTCATTTTCAGATACTGCAGTAATCTAGACTTGCCAAACATTATAGACTTGCATGGGCTGTATTTGATATATATTTGTATCAGGGTCTGTAAGACAGACTAAAGGCCCCTGTAAATCATGCGCCAACGAAAATGGATGACGTGGTCAGGCTTCGTGACTTCAGAAATCCAAAGTTAAAAAACAATGGCCAGATACTGGCTTAATATTGCAATAAAGTAACTGGAAAAAATTATTTGTATTTATACAAATTAATGATGGCTAAGCGTGATGCAAACTCGACCGCTTACCCTTGGCTAAACTGTGTAGAGCAGTTACTATATAATTGCAGCTTGACCGATATTTCTCGCACCTCAATTTTTTCATGACGAATGGATTGCCTTAACTGTAGAACGGGTGCTAAAGGATATAATCTGCCCAAAACGGAGAAGCGATACGTTTGCTAGTCCGAAAGGTAATCTCTATCAATTTTGTAAAACAAGTTCCATCTCTCAGGAAATATTTCAGTCCAAGAGCGATTTCATACCCTATTAGGGTATTAACATGAGTCTTTTGCCTTGTTTCCGATCCAGATTCATTGAATAAAAAATTGTATAAATCATAGCTTATTTTAAGATGAATGACAACTAATCATGATCTACAATGAAACAAGCTGTTGGCACGGGATCCATAGAGGACAAAGAGCTTGCACATTATGTATTACCAGCAATTGCCGACGAATTCCATTACATGTATATGTTTCGTTGTGAAGTATTCAAAGATCGCTGACTTTGTGTGCTGGCGATTAGGTGCCTCACTCTGGCAAGTGTGGGTTCGAATCCCGGACGGGACTCAACCCCCCCAAAAAAAGTACGAGAATCTGTACTTTACTGAGAAAGTGTTATCCCAAATACAACATTTGTTACATTTGACCACTTTCTAAATGGCATTGTGTATTCATAGCTTTCGGCCATGGGAGCCGTGCCAATTTACACTTGTCAGAGGGGTACTCAAAGTACGTGATCTAGACTACCAGTTGTCGGCCTTCATTTTTGTGGAAGCCTCGGTGGCTGAGTAGGTTAGATCGCTGACTTTGTGTGCTGGCGATTAGGTGGGTTCGAATCCCGGACTCAACCCCCCCCCCCCCCCCCCCCCAAAAAAAAAGTACGAGAATATGTACTTTACTGAGAAAGTGTTATCCCAAATATAACATTTGTTACATTTGACCACTTTCTAAATGGCACTGTGTATTCATATCTAAAATATGGCAAAATATGCTTTCTTTCCAACGTCTGTTTTTTACATCTAATTTGAAGGAAGTGAACTCTCTTACCAGATTCATATCAATTATATGCTCGAATATAAGATGTAAGAAATTATAGTTATCTTGTTATCAATATAATATGTAGATAGTGTACTACATTGCTCATGTATCACGGGTTGTGGTTAATGGAGGAATAAAAAGTTCCGAAGTAGCTGGGGTCTGTTGTACAAAGCCATCGTAGTTGCGCTACGACTGTCGTCAGTCTATGAAAGATATGGCCGTGATTCCCTGTTCGTCTCGCCCAAACGCGATTATTTACTGAACTCTCTTATTTTTTAAGATATCTGACCAGCATTTAGCAACAATAACGCAGGGTTGTGAAAATGTACGATTTTTTAAAAGGTCGTGAAAAAATTATTTATTTGACGGTTATTAATTTTTACATTGGTGTAAATTGTAAGTTAATGACAAAAATGACATTTTAAGGGTAGTCTCATTCTCGAACCCTGCTATCCTATCATAATCATCACTTTCGTAACGATTGGATTTGACTCGGTAAACTCTCCATTTCTCTACATATTCCATAATGATTTTAAACTTTGTAAAACATAATACGCCAGAACCACATATGTATAACAACAATAGTTAAA